GTGGGGGCAGGAGGGGGCTTCTGCTTCCCGGAGCCTCGTGTCCCACACCCCATCGAGAGCCTCTCCTCATAGGGAGAGGGGAGGCCCAGAGTCACAGAGCATCCTGTGTTGGAAGGAACGCTCAGAGATCATGGAAGTCCAAGGAAGTCCAACTCCTGGTCCTGCGCAGCGCACGCCAGGTGTCACACCATGTACCCGAGGGCGTTGTCCAAATGTTTCTTGAACTCTGTTAGGCTTGGTGATCTGACCGCTTCCTTGGGGAGCCTGTTCCAGAGCCAAAGCATCCTCTGGGTGAGGAACCTTCCCCTAATTCCCAACCCAAACCACCACTGACACAGCTTCATGCCGTTCCCTCGGGTCCTGTCACTGATCACCGCAGAGATGAGTGTCCGCCCCTCCTCTTCCCTTCGTAAGGAAATTGCAGATTGTGATAAGATCTCAGGGTTCTCAGTCTTCTCAGGGTCTCAGGCTGTCTTGTGCTTAACTGCAGGAGCGCTGGATCCCGTGACAGCTGGTCAGTCTGTGGCACAAGTGCCACGCGAAGCCCTTGCCCAGTGCCACCATGTCGCTGGGGACTGCTGTGGCTGTGGCAGGTGCATGAAGGGTGCCTGTGAAGCGCAGGGTGTCCAGCCTCTGCAGCCTGAAGTTCATAGGAATACACTTGGCAGGAGTACTTCCATGGGTCTCCCACATATCAGCTGTGCTTTCAATACTGACCACAAGATCCAGACTTAAGTGTGCAATATCCTGTCAGCTCACCAAAGGTTATGAATTTGTATCACCTGCAACTCAGGAGCTAGTGTTTTTCTATTAACATTGCTTTGGCAGTTGGCTTTAATTTCTTTTGTGAAATGGGATGTAGTTGCTGTAAGGCAAGTGCACCATGAGCTGGACAAACTCTGAGAGGATACTCTTTGCCATGCTGTTGGATTCGACAAAAAATCTCACTGCTGCTGTGCAGTGATGCATGGATTAAACTGCTCAAATCCCAGAGATACTACAGAATTCAAGTGGAGAGAATACCCACAGTTTATTTATTTCTTTATAGAAATCACTTTATTTGCAGTAAAAGAAAGCATTGGTATAAAATAGCCTTTCAAATTTGGCAGTCGTTTGCTTGCTGTGTCAGCAATATGTGTGAAAGAAAAGGCATGCTCCGTAACCTACGTTTCAAAGGTCACAGTGCTACTGCTCCAGCCTTCTGAAAACCACAGTTGGAGCCAGCATCATGGTTGGTCTGAAGATTTGGTCTGTCTCTCTGGCTATACTCTACCATTTCTGTCAGAGATGTATCCCGTGTGGAATTTCAACACATGTTGAAATAGGTAAGATATGTTCAAAATGGATTTTGTTGTGTTTTGAATTTCTTGTGAAGAGAAGTAAATTCAGATTCAGCAGGAAAGCAGAGGGAGGAAATAATGTTAAAGTAATAAGCAGTTTACATAATTTTTAAAAATGTGAGTAACAGATAGGATAAACGAGCAGTTTGATTTTTGGAGTTTGAAATTTTACTGGTTTTGTAAGTAAAACGCTTGAGTTGACTTGGGTCGCGTATTTTTCCGTCTCCTAAGACACAGGCATTATGTAACTGGAATGTTTTTGTCTGTGAGTCCTACGCAGACAGAGTTTGGTTTGGAGAAAGAAAAAGAATGCTTTAGGCAATTTGTGAGATTGTTATATTTAAATTAAAGAATAACACAAGTTCTTTGTGGTAACTCTGTTTTTAAATCACTTTGTATTAATTATGCTGTACCTGCAAAAGTAGATAAAATTCTGTAATGGGCTTCTGTCTGTAACTAACAGGAGAAAAAATTTGTTCTGTATCTCTTTCTGATAGGTTGCTCTCAGTATCCAGAACAGCCTGGATTTTTAGAGAATGAAGGAGAGAACTGAGTGAACATCAAAATGGAGAAATATTTCTGTTTTGAATTTCTTGTTTGCCTGTGCTATTTTTAAAATCTGGTTTCTTCCGCAGTTTTGCGAGCACAAACACAAGCAGTGTGAGGTTATTCTGAGTTACTCGTAATAATTGACAGTTTATGTTGTTTGTTCTTCTGGTTCTATTTCTAAATTCGTTGCTCTAACAGGTGGTAAAATGTAGGATGTTGCCTTTATTCAGGTAATTTTCTCAGTCTTTAAGTACTGAATACAATATATGCAACTTTGAACAATTTAAAGACTGGGATTGTTCATGGTGTTTGAGACTGGAGTGTGTTCCCTTACTGAGTGTTGTACCCATGTCAGCATCCTGGAACAATTTGCTTTTCCTAACAATGTGTCAAGAAACCCATAATAATCTGTAGGAGAAGCCATGCTGCCTGAGGTTAGGCAAGTGCACACCACTCTGCAAGCTCAGGGCTCTAATTACCCAGTACAAGCTTCTGAGGACTTGAAATAACAGATTTTCCAGAATAGAGTGTGTTTGAAAAAAAATCTGCAAAGAGAAGCTTACAGATCTGTCCCAAAGCAGTATTTTTTTTTCTTTTCTTAATCAAGTTTTCTGTTTGCAGAAAACTTGTGTTTATATAATATAAAGATCTTGGTTGCCTGAGGAGTTGAGAGTACGCTGTACTATTGGGTTATAGTTTACAATGAGTTTTGTCCATGTGTTGGAAAATAACATTAAACTGTGATCAGCTCTGATTCTGCTAAAATGAATGCTCTTATTGTTGTTCACATAAAATTCTAGTATGATGAGATGAAAATATTTCCAAAATTCAAACTCTGAGTACTCCAGGAAAACAAAAACAAGCAAGCAAACAAAAAACAAAAACAAAAATACAAAAACAAACCAAAAAACTGAACAACAAAGTATAGAAGGAATTCCTCTTACTCAAAGCCAGCACCAAAGAAATCCTGGACAGAGTGTTGAATGTACTTTTAAAATGGTGAAAAGCTCTGCCTGTTCAGAATGTTGGTGGTGTTCAGTGTGCTTGGCAGAGCTGTGCTGTGTCCTACTTGCACGCCGTGCCTGGAGGCAGGTCCCAGTGGGGAAGCTCCTTGCCCTGGGGGTTCCTGTCACACTTATGAGGCTCTATGAGACTGTGGAGATCTGGCATAAAATTCCTTGTGAAGGTGGAGTTGTAGAACCTGGGCCCACTTGAGTAGTGAGAAAAGTGCAGGGGAGGTGTGAGGCAGAGAAAGCAAACTGTCAAACTGAGGCTCTCCCACACTGGAATCAGAGATGTGTGTAGAAATGTCTGAGCCTTAACATTTTAGAGCATTGCTTACTATTTTGTTGCTGTTTCTCTTCTGGTGCAAGGCTGGTCTTTAAGGTATATTACTTGTATGAGGATGATTTAGATTATTGGGTAAAATTCAAAGTGAAAGATCAGTCAAACCCCCACAGTTTTGTCTAGATCTTATTCCAGAATAGTAATGAATTGTTTTGGATTTGGTAGGGGGGAGTTTTTTGTTTGTTTGTTTTGTTGTTTTGTTCTTTGGGGCTTTTTTTGTGATGTGATTTATTTGGTAAGGAACAAATCAATCTTTGAAAATAGCTTTAGAGAAAATGTTAAGTATTTTTAGAATAGTGTTGATAGATTATTCCTGGGATCTAATATTAATTAGGAGACCTCATTAATGAAAAGGAAGTAATTTCCTTTCATTCACTTGTTGTGCCAGCTAAATAAAGATTTTGGCAGTAAGAATATCTGCCAATTCAGTGAATAAGTAGTGTTATTTACCTTGCTTATTTACCTTTAGATTTTTGTTACTTTCCATGCATGTTAAAAATTAATCAAACCGTTAAACACCCACACAGATTCCCAACATACCTTTTTCACTGTTAAGGGCAACAATGAAGCTTAAGTACAGCTAAAACTTTATGGTCTGTGCTTTACATGTGCTGTGTGTGGTCCTGTCAGTTCCCTGCTGTAGCTCAATTCTGGACATGGGGAGTTCATTTCTCTGTGATCAGCTTGGTTGCTCAGCTTGGCAGCTAGGCATTAGAGAGACACTGAAGCTGTGCAACAGAAAGAGCACTTCCCTATTAACTCCCTAGGTGAGAAAACACACCTAGGTGAGAAAGCACACCTTCTCACAGCTCTGTGAGAAATGGTGTTTCAGGCACTTGGTGCTTGGCTTAGGTATGAAAATGTGGTGTTTTCTGGTTCTGCTACTGCTTCTACCAAAACGTGGGCCTGAACCCAGTACCTGTAAATCAACACTTCAATATATTGTTTTTCAGCACACAGAGCTCTGGAATTTTTCACTAAGCATGAAGGGAGTGTTAATTATAGAAAGGTAGGAAACATCTTATTTCTTAATTTTGTACACCTTTCTTCTGAATGCTTTTCTTTCTGTCTTCTTGCCTTTCTTTATTATTCTCAGTAATGTGTGCATCAATATTGTGCCCAGACTGTATTTTTTAGCTTTTTTTATTCAAAATAATTTGACTGATTCTGAATATTATTACAGAAATATAGCAATTATACCAGTGTGTATATGTATGTATATATATATATATATATATATATATATACACACTTTGTGTGGTTTCTTGCATGTTTTCCTATCTTCTTTAGTCATATTCTATGTGAGCAGTTGTATTAGAAGAACGAGTAGAGGACTTTGGGAAAGCAGATTTAATAAATCTGAGGACAGCAAATGACAGCAAGGTTTTGAGCACTACATGGTATATTTTACCAAGATACTAGTTGTATTTTGCTGTCTATTTAGAATGTATCTTTGATGTTGGCAGTAAAATGTGGTTTTGTGCTGTGCAATAACATTCTGATTCATTTCCCCCCCATCCTTTCCCCAGTTATTACTAAATCATCAAGATGCTTTCCAGGCTGGAAGCGTTTATCCTGATGCCTTTTATCCTCCAATCTGCAAACGTGGTAAGATAAGCTTTATAAGTCCAATGCTATAACAATTACATTTTTATGTGTAAATCTTACAGAGTTTAGTGGGTTGAAAATGGTTACTTTGTAAGAAATGAAGTGTGGCCAAAAATGCTTTTCTGCAAAAACTATCCAGCATTTTTGTTGAAGCCTTTTGGTAGAAATTTATAATGAAATAACACATTTGAAACTGTTTTAGAAAGTAACTCTTGGGCAAATTTAACGATTTAATCGGTAGGACAATTTAATAGAAGGATGTTGTTTGATCAAATTAGGTCAGATTACTAAGTAGAGAGAGTACAAAATTATGGTTTTTTTATAAATCTTAGGGAAGACCTAAAGCTATTTCTGTGTAAAAAATTATTAGTTTCTATCAGATCAGTCAAAAAGAGGATAGGACAATCTAAAAGTCCCACAGCAACAAAATACTGTAGGACTTGCTGGGGGTGGGTGGGCAAGTGTTAATAACATCTGAGTTTAAAACCTTTTTTTTCCAGAGTGCTGTCTTTTGCCTTTTACTCCCTTGTGTTGGAAATTAATGTCAGTCATAATTTTGTTGCTTGCAGATCAAAATACTGCTGTACAAAATTAGCACCCTCTTGCAATAGCTGTGAAAAATATGTCTTGACTGGCAAGTGGTCCCCTGATTTTTCAGCTCGGAAAGGCCAGCTCTTGATCATAAGCAGCTTCTTCAGCAACATTAGGGCTATAAAAGAGCCAGCTAGGCCTTGCTGTAGGATATTTGCTACTGAAAGGGTAAATCTGGATAGTGAGCAGTTAGCAAATGGGATAAAGAGCCTGTCCTCCAGGTACAAGCTATTAGGGTGTTTAGAGAGATACCAGAGACAGGGCAGTGGTAAGTACTTTGTGTGAGGGTATCTGGCCTTACTGGCTTCAATATTGTTGAGGTATTAGTGCAAGTGTAAAGTATTGAAAGTAGCTTATTTTAGTGGGCCACGCAAATTCCATGAAATTTATGGGATAGTTAGGATCTTTGTTTGGTTTAGAGCCAAATCACACAGTTGCACCCAAAGTTGTCTTTTTCTCAGACAGAGGTTGTTGATGCTGCCTGTTGGTTATGCCGACTACAGGCTGCTTCATATCCTGATGTGCTCAGCTCACATCCAAATCACCTCTCTGTACTGGCATTTAATACTGGTTTTGTCTTCTGTCACTCATTGGGTCACTCATCTTGGTTTTCTGCCTGGCTCTGCCAACTTCTTGTCCCAAACTTCAGTCTTGCTTTCCTTTTTTCATGACTGATATTCTCCTGGGATTTTTTTTCAGTCCCTACTTTAGGTTGCTATATCTATCTGTCTATCTATCTATCTATCTATCTATCTATCTGTCTGTCTGTCTGTCTATCTATCTATCTATCTATCTATCTATCTATCTAATCTTTCCCTTTTAACCATTTTGACCTGTCTTTTACCAAGTCAGATCCTCTCCATCTGCAGTATCCAATGTTCATTCCTTCACTAACCTTGGAGTCTGTCTTGCCTTGTTAGAGCTGGACCACTTGTCCTCAATTTCCTTAGTCATTATGGAAGAAACAGATACCTCTTCAGACCTGAGCTGTTTTAACTGTGTGACAAGATCAAGAACAAAGCTATCCAGACTGCCTCTTTGGGCAGGAGACAAGCTTAGATGTAGAAGCCTACTCTGATTTTGCTAAGCAAGAACCATCCTTCTTTTATGTAGTTTAGCTGCACTGTAAAATGTCATGAGGCTAAAAGGTAAGTGAATTGCCCCACAAGGTCTTCTCTCAGTATTTAATCTCCCCTCACACTGTGCAGGTTCACATTGCTGTGTCAACAAACACACACTCTTCCTCCAAGAGTACTGATGGTCTGAACAATCTCCCATCTACCTTCTTCCCCCTTAGAGAATTTAACATGGTGTGCTGCTCCATCTCTTTATGTTAACATCCCTTTGCACTTAGCTTTATGTAGGTACACAGATATTTTTAGGCAAGGTCACTGTTAGTTTCTACACAATCTTTCTGCCTAAATTCAGGTAAGAGTAATAAATGATTCTTCTAAATGAAACCTATTTTTTCCTGCTTTCCTCCCTTTTTCCCCTCCTACACTGACTGTATCTTGGCCAGTTTGCCTTTCTGTTGAAAATGATTGTGGTGATAATGATGACATAGCCTGCCTCTGCCCTGTGGAAACTGATACCTGCCAGAAAACATGACATTTTGAGTTGGCTGCCATTCCCTACAGCTTTTTTGCCATACAACTGGATGCATTAATTTAGTTAGCAGGTTCTCTGTCAGCTCTCTTTATCCTCTCTGCTTGGGAGGCAGCTTTTCATTGTAGTGTACCTACTCACAGGCACAGGGAAAAGGAGCAGGCACAAAATTTTCAGATGCTTCAAACCAAAATCATAGAAGGTAAATCTAGTACCTGTTTTGTTAGTATGAATCAGAAAAAGTAAGTCTATTGTGCCTCTTTTCATGAGCTGGAGTGCAAATTGTATCATCTGACATGAAATTGGGCAAAAGTCTGTGGGGTTTTTAATGGAGAAAAAACCCTTTATTTTTCTTTTTTTCTATTTAATTTTTCCCCAAAGAATAAATCAAATACTGATATAATTTTATTGCAATAGGAATGTTCCATGATGTGTCTGAAGACACTCATTGGTCACCATTTCTCAAAGCAAGTATTGATTACATCAGAAGGAATTATCCGCAGCCTTGGGAAGAGGTAAGAAAGTTGATTAACTTTTGCTTGATTGACTTTGTTTTCAATAGTTTTCTTCACCTTCACTATCTGTAATTTCATCATTTGTGAGGTATAGAAAAACCCAACATTTTTATATTAAAGTCTCTCCTTATATAGTAACACTTGAAATCCTGTTTCAATCTTTACCATACACAAAACTTACAGTTTCCATATAAAGTCTGTCAGTTATTTCCACTGTGGTCTGGTGCATACATTCCATAGGTCCAAATTTTTAAATATAATTGGTGGTGTTGCATTCCTGTGAGATCTGGTTGAGGGTTTGCCATTTGAAAACCAGACATGTTTTAGATTTTTTACTTGTGAAATCTTGAACATAGTCTGGATTTCCTCTTGTTAATGGTCTGTAAGCTATGTAGGAGGAAATGAAGAACAATTTGTCAAAAGTGAATGTGCTGAGGAATGTATTTCTCTCCTCTGTCTGCCTACACAACAACCATGGTGGCAGAGGGAGTTCAGTTCTTGGAAGTGGAAATGTTTAGCCTTGGTCCAGAAAAACCGTTTGGTACACATTTAATTGAAGTATGCAAATTACCCTCACATCAACCATGTAATTCTATGGCCTTGGACTGTATAAACTGCTTAAAGCTTCTCAAGTTACAAAAGTTGACCACAGCATCAAGCAATGAGCAGTCAGCACTTTGTCCTGATAAACTCTTGGACTATAAGAGCTTCTTAGCTGTATCCTTGTTTAACACATCTACAGAAAATGCTAACATTTTCTTAAAGACAGGAGTAAAATTACTGACAAATGGATTGTTGTTGTGTAGGCTACAGAGAAGCTGGTGGCTTTCCTGTTTGGAATTGCTTCACATATGGTGGCAGATGTTAGCTGGCATAGCCTGGGCATCGACCAAGGATTTCTAAAGGCCATGGGAGAAGTAAGCCTGTATTATTTTATTTATTCATACAACTGGATTTATTGGAATGGATAGCTTTGTTTTGGACTGTGGTGGGGAGGTAAGAGAAAAGCTGGAGCCCTGTTTCAGGAAGATTTTTGGAGAAACACAACGTCACAAACTTCATAAGAGTGAAGCTGGTCCAGGTTTGGGACCTGTAACCATTAGTGTTGTTGGAGGGTTGGTTTCTGCTCATATGAAAAGAAACAGGCAGTTCTCTTGTTTTTCTCTTTCCCCAGATTGATTTTCGTGGTTCATACTCAGAAGCTCACAGTGTTGGAGATTTTGGTAATGTTTCTGTTTGCCAATCATAGATCCTTGTATTGGAATAAGTCCTCTTCAAAACCATGGTGGTTGATTCTGGCTCTTGTCCTGTGCAATGCAGAAGTTAAGGATGGCATATGGACACTGTATTCTTGCCCTCCCCCATGGCTTGCAAAGCCCTGCTGTACCTGTCCTCAGGTTTCAGGAGATGTGATAAGTCATATGGACATTTGGATTAAAGCAAAAATGCAGACTAAAGGATGCTAAGATATGGATGGAGTCCCTACTGTGATTTTAAATTGTACATGATTCTCCAGAGGTATAAAATGTCCAGCATACTTTCAGGTGAACTATTTGTGTATTCTAAATATATAGCTGGAAGATCTGCCATATAAATGCATATAGAAGAGCCATACATACTTCATGCACACTGTTACCCATTACAGATACCTAACAGGTTTTTTTTCTTGAGCTGTGTAGGGTTTTTTTCATTCTTTCATCCTTAGGAGGAGATGTAGTGAGTCAGTCTGAGCTGGACTTCAGTTACCTGGCATCGAGTTGGTAAGATAATGAGATTGTCTTCTTTCATATTTAATGGGTTTTTTTGTATAATCATATTTAATATAATTAGATATAATAGCACATAATTCTCTATTAATCTGTTTTTTAAAAATGCTTTCCTTTATTTTTCTTTCAAAAAAACCCCTTGCAACTCTTTTAAATGTTATGTGTTCAGTATTCCGTATATGCATATTTACTGTTCCCTGACATAAAAACTGGAAGGACAGAAGAGTTTTATGTATAGGAACACAGCAAAAAAGATTAAATTATATTATCTTAACTTATCTATATTAACTTATTATCTTAAGTTATAAGTAGTTATATGTAAAATAACTACTGAAAACCTTTTGCTGGAATGTCCTAGCACCTAGTTAAATAACTCAATTAAGTGACAATCTCAGTGAGATATATTTAAACTTTAGGAAATTGAGGATATTGAAGTCAGTTTTTCTCAGAGTTGCATGTGCAATCCTGGTATTTGTAGAACTTCGTGACCTTATGTAGTCTTTTGAAATTTGGAATATTTTATAGGCTGTTGTTATTACAAGAACCACAATATTTTATCAGGTGATGTGGACCATCTGTTGTTGTAATACATTATTTTTGTTTTCAGGTATGTACCTGTCAAAGACTTAGCTGCTATCTATAAGGAATTTTATGGAAAAGAGATCATAACTGAAAGCACAGTTGCTGAATGTACTTATTTGCTGTTTTTTGAACTGTAAGTTGAATATCTCTGCCTGAGTTTTGTAAGTGAAACATATATAGGAGAAATATGATAATCATATTTGAAACACCTTATGCATTGATGTCAGCAACGAAGACTCCCTCCTAGACCCCAAAATCACAGAACATCTGAATTTTTTAATGACTAGGATTCAAATTTGGACTACATAATGACGGGTAAATTACTACACCACAGATGGTGAATCTTGGCTATTTCATGCATTTTGCATTTAATGTATTTATGCCTATTTATTTGAGAGCAGCTGTGTCTTCAAGTACCATTGCACTGTGGTGAGTTAGCAGCATAATTATCATGCACTGAAGGACTCTCTAGATGCATACCTTATCTACACTCTGTGTAGATCCCTTCAAGTCCAAGAATAATTCATAAAAGACTTTGGATATCTGGTAGTGTCTGCTTTTTAATATCCTGAACAGCTTAACTGTATCTCATATTTCAGTTAATTACCAATGGTGACACAACATCTACAAAAACTGTGAATCCTTCAAAATTAAGGGCAATAAAGTTTATATTGGTTTACATTACAACTTTAAAAATATATTAACAATCAACATGGAAATGTAATGACTTGCATAGTATTTACCATATAGGACTTTTGAAAATAACTATTTAAACTATTAAATATTAAATTAAGCAAGTTTTATTTCTGATTTTTTTCAGGCATGGAGAAAGGCTTCTCGTTGGCAAGGTTGGTTTTCTGTTTTTTTATAAAAATGAGCATGGAGACAATGTGATCCATCTTACTGAGTATGTTACTTGTCCCTTAGCTTTTTCCAACATTTGCTGGTAAATCTCCATTTCTGGTGGACAAGTTCCACGAATATTTCCTTGGGGGAGTGGATGACATGGCATTCTGGACCAACAACATTTTTGAGCTGACGAGCCACATGCTAGAGAATGGAAGCAGGTATGGTGTGTGTCCTTAACTATGAAATGCAGTAGTCAAGTGCTGACACCCACTTAATTGTTCTTCTTAAGGGTAGATCTTTCCTGGAATAGATGCTGAGCTTTAGATTCTCACTTGGACAAGGGGATTTCCATGTCTGCCTTTTGCCTGGTTGCACAGGATTACACAGGCCTTGCATTTGTATTTTTTATATGTTTCTGCTCCTTTCCCCTAGTGTGCCTCTGGCATGCCCAGGTGATACTCACCAGGAAAAATTTGGGGCTTTCTTTAAGACATAATCAAGGATTTGCTTAAATATTGCATACCCATGCCCTAGCTGGACTGGCAATTTGAGTCTGCACCTTTTGGCTGCTGCCATCACTCAGCAAAAATGTCCCTTTTGAGGAGAGGTCAGATATTACCTTCAGACTCTGAAGGCAAATAGGATTAGAAAGAGTAGGAGTATATATTCTAGTCTTTAAGCTCAGGCTTCTACTCACAATTTCATATTGTTATAGAAGTTTAAACTTGAACAGCTCTGTAACAAATACAACCTTTCTTCATTAGAGGCAATTAATCCATCTGTTTATATGGAAAATACCACTGTTGCTATTTTGGGAAATTATGCTTGAAATACAGAATGGCACAATCTGTTATATTCTTTGTAACACTTTGATTAAAAGTGCTTTAGGTTTATATGCATGCATGTTGCAATAAGTTTCCTTCAAGAGCTCTATAAAGATTTGATATTCATACAGAATCGAATTAAGGTCATCAAATAAACATCATGGGGTTTCTAAGGGTTATGATGATGCTCTGATTTTGATTTTCTTGAGAAAACTGATGACTTCTGACAGAGGAATCAGTAAGTATAAAAGTTGCATTTTTAGTTTCATTTCTATTGTAAAATCTTTAAAGTGCATTCTCTGTATTCTTCTTTAGTGACTGCTACCTGCCTGAGAACCCTCTGTTCATAAACTGCACAAAGGAGCACAAGGACAGCCACATGTGAGTATAGCTCTGATAGCTTAAAGCTTCAGTGATGAGAGGAGAGTCTTCTGCTAATGTGAACAGTGAGCTACTGAAAATTAGAGATATTTTGGGTAATCATTTTGTGTATGAATTTGAGATTCTCTTAGCATGAATAACTAAGTTTTGTACAAAGGAACTGGGTAGAATCTAAGAGCAGCTTTTACCTTGAGTCTTTATTTCAGTTATATTAATTCTTATCACTGTCTTCTTTATTTTAGCAGAAACAAACAATCAAAACATGAACATCACAAGAATACAACTTCTTTGCTTTCAGAAACACTTGAGAAGAATATAAACTACACAGAGAGAGGAGTTCGATTTGACATACAGCCTTGGGCAACAGTAAGTGAGAAGTAACAGATGTGTCAGGTAAAAGTCATCTCTATATAATATTGTTTTTGTTTCTGTCTGAAATGCTGCATGAAGGAGTAGGGTCTCTGGATGGTCTTTGACTTCATGGACATTCCAGTACCAGTGCTAATGTATATGTATACATCATAAATACTCAATTTTTAAACTTTGCTCATTGTATAGTGAAGTTAGAACACATCCTGCAGTGCCAAAAATGACAAAATATATATTTAGTATTTACATTTTACAGACATATGATGGCTCTTTTGGGTTAAGAACTCCCAGCAAAGCATAGCAGTGAATGATAAGTAGTGCTCTCTTTAAAGCATACAGATTTTTGTCTTTCTAAAATGGTGCTTATGATCTGAGTCAGACTACTCTTAAATCCGTGTGGTGATTTCCATTGTTGGTGACTTGATTTTTGAGGTGTCCCAAAATATTCTGGAGTTTCAGCTTCTGGAGTTTTAACCACTGCCGTGTCCCTTTATTATTTTTATTTCAGAAATCCCTCCGCTTGATAAACAATGCTTTTAAAACCAATGTCTGGAGAGCATTAGAAGCTACACATCAGAAATCTTCTAAGCACATCTCCAAGCCAGCAGCTTCATATTTTCTGACTTCACCCTATGCTAGGCTTGGATGGTTGGTAATTTTTTTCATCCCACTTTCCTCTTAATTTCTGAAAATTTTGGGTATCTACCAAAATATTTTTGTTGGTCCTTTGGATACTCTTCTAAGGTGACAGTGCAAATCAATTAGTGGTACAAATTTGAGGAAATGTCTTATATTGTAGAAGACATTGTATAACTTGCAGAACAGCAAGTTAGCATATAAGATTTTTCTTTCAGATGTTGATCAAGCTCCAAAAGGAAGGAACCAACATTAGAACTACCATTGTCTCTAGTTCTGAACAGTAAAATATTGTTGCTACCCTTTTTTGGTTGTTGAATGATATTTGTGCAAAATTAATCATCTGTCATGAGTTGATGACTGATGATATCTAGTGAGACCTCTTGGAAATACTCTAGACTAGTAGGGAGCTCAAAGATAGATTCAGGACAGAGAGAGGCATATTCTCTCTCCTTGCCAATGAGGTTCTTCCTTGACCTGCAACAAGGAAGAGTAATAAAACAAATTTGCATTGCTGCTTATTTAACTTCCCTTATGCTGTCTCAAAATTTGGATTTAATTCTTGAGTTTACTTCACACCGGCTAAATTAATAGTAATTAGCTCTTTCCATGTTCCCTCTCTAAACTCCAGCATGTTACTGAGACCTGGGATCCTTTTGCTTATCTCCTGTTAAGTCCATTGATTAAATCAGATGTTCAGTTTAAAAGATACTTAATTTCTTTTTTTTTTTTTTGTATTCTTTGTCATATGCAAACAGCCCTTTTTTAATGCTTCTTGCTCTGATTGCTCTCAGGTGCCTAATGTCAGTAAAAAGCAGTTCCTGCAGATCTCAGATGCATTGATGGAAGATGATTCTTCTGATTTTGCTTAATTCAAGAAAACATAAATAAATATATAATATTTAAAATGCTGTATAGATCTTTACAAAACAATATGGGGAAAGACAAGTCCTGGTTTATCTGAATTATGGGGTTTTTTTCCACTAATGTTGAGGTAGTTTGGAAACTAATGCTGATTTTGTTGACTCCCTTGCTGTACAGGGCACTGATCTCAGCTGACCTAAACCAGGATGGATATGAAGATCTGGTGGCTGGAGCACCAGGGTACAGCACCATGGGCCGAGTTCAGATAGGAAGAGTGTATGTTCTCTATGGCAACCAGTCAGGTTTGCCACCAGGGGATATGGATCTGGATGGGAAAGCTGACCAAGTACTACAGGGTCATCAGGTAAGGGGTCAAGGCAAAAAATTGTCGCTTAATTTTTTTTTGCCTGAAAATTGTTGAGTTTTGAATAAGCAATAGTATAATTATTGTGTATGAGTATTACTTCTGAAATGCTCCTCCTGATGTCATATGATGTCATATGCTTTTCAAGAAAATTAATCATTATTAAAGTCTCAGGAACACTTGAAATTATGGTGATCTGTAGGTTCACTTCCATTACTGTACCAGATAAGTGAATATTAGACCATAGTCTAATACCAAAGGGCACCAAAGTGCCTTTAAATAAAATTCTGGTTGTGTCTCTGTAAGTCACAGTATAGCTAATTCTGGTGCCTGCATTTAAGAAAATATTGTGTTTCCTGTCCTTTTTAATCTAAAATTATTAATTTAATAAGTTTTAATTCCTTTGAGTCTACATTTCTTCATTAATTGATAACTTCTCCCCAAATAATTTTGTCTGTAGTAAGAGAAAAAACAAAAGAAAAAACTCTTAGACATGATGTGGCTGGTTTGTAACCAAGGAGTAAGAGCAAATGACCCTTTTGGATGTTAAATATGGTGGTCTGTAGAAAATAATTTTATTCATAAAGAAGATAGTATGGAGAAATGAGATACATTTCCATTTGTTTCTGTGGTTATAAACTGTGGAGTGACAGCTTCTGTCTTCTTATGGAGTGTTTTAGTGGTTCCCAGTCATAATGCTATCAACAGGAAAGACCATAAACTTGACATCAATGGTGCACTGGACTCAGGAGACGAAATAGCAAAGCAGCACCATATTATATTCAGTTGTCCTTAATTTTAACACAGTTGACTTTGAATTAAATGTGTTGTCATGGGGGTTATTATGTAGAAGAAAAAGAATTGTTGGGATAGACTTTTGTCGTCTGTTGCCAGTTATTCCCTTTGCAAATGTACATTTGGTTTTCATGATTTTGACTGGAAAACATGAGAGTAATCCCTTTTGTTTTAGCCTTCAGGAAGATTTGGTTCTGCCTTGGCAGTCCTGGACTTCAATGAGGATGGAGTACCAGATCTGGCAATTGGCGCACCTTCTGTGGGATCTCAGTTTCTTACCTACAAAGTAAGCTACAAGCATGGGTTTGTTGTTTTTTGGTTGTTTTTTTTTTTTTAATTCTCCAAACTGAATGGTTTTATTTATTCATAGTTTTTATACATTGAAATGAAAAGGAGAATTTCTGTTGTTGCTCAAGGTGACATTGTAATTTAAATAAAAGTTTATAACCTTTGTGGGTACTTTGACTACAGCAATGACACCTACCTGTAGTTCTCTTTCAGTGGCCTTTTTGCACATTAGACATAAATCTAAACCAGATTGCAACTTTGTAGCACTGACATGCTGGAAGTGTAAGGAACCATTAATGAAATACAAACATACCCTTTTTGTTTAGGAACAGAGTCTGAAATGGACCTCATGGGTCAATGAATTTTGTCATATGCTTTCACAAAGCTAACAAATTATATCTAAAATGTGATATGAACACAGACACACTTGCCAAATAATCAAGTTACAGAGGCTTAATGACTTGCAGCTTATGAGATTAGCCCGTGTAATGGTCCCTGAATATTTTTAGGCCATGCAAACTGAGGGGCAAAATGTTTCGATTTAGACTACATCCATTAAGCTTAAAACTCTTCAGAATTTTAGATACTAATTTAGCTGTCTAAATAAGAATTTAAGTTGCTTTTATTTAGACTCACCACTTGGAAAATTGTGTGCATCTGTTGTGCCATGGCATTAAATAATAATTGTCAAAATTTGAGCCATCTGAACATGTGTATTATGAGTATAAATACACTGTACTGCCCTTGTTCCTTACACACAGTATGATGAACATGTACTTCTCTGCTTTGTTGCTTGGTTACAGCACTACCCATTACCCATGGATATTCTTAGGTTTGGGGTCTGAAAGAAAGTATTATGAGAAAGCTCTGAGAGGGAAAATGAAGTTGTATGAACAGCCCTTGCAGAACTGTTCCACTCCTTGTGATTGACCTTGCATTTCATACTTGATACTGACATGCAGGTGCTCTCATGCCTTATTTTCTTTTTCTGCTGTTCAGGGTGCTGTGTATGTCTACTTTGGAACGGAGGGAAGAGGCTTGGCACCTCAGCCAAACGTTACCATAACTTGTCAGGTATATTGATAATGTAATGTCCTGTTTATACTACCCTGTTAGCCAGGCTAACACAGGGCTACACAGGCAGGGGGTAATAAAAAGGGGAAAAGAGCTTATGGGCTTAAAAAAAGAATGTTAAAATTCAACTTATCATTGCAAGGAAATACGGACTGATGGGTATGGAGCAAGCAGGTGCTTGGTTGGATTGGTTGTATATGGGAAAGACATTTATACCCCAGTTCAGGAAGGCAGCAGAATGACTAGAAAGGTGCATTAGCTCTCAAAACCAAAAAAAGCCACCAAAAAAACCTGACCCAAATTAAACAAAAAACCTCAGAAAACAAAATTGAAGCCAGGGAGTGGGAAGGTAATTTGGTCAAAGCAAATTTAGGTCTTTAGAATTAAGTTGCTCTATTTTGCTACCGAATGGATGGTTTCAGTTCTATTTCAGGCTTAAACTAACTGTTTATTGCAGTATTCCTACTGTAATCTTGGTTGGTCCCTCCTGGCAGCTGATGTTGATGGGAATGGAAATGCTGATCTGGTTGTGGGCTCTCCATATGCACCCGGTGGTGGAAAGCAGAGAGGATTTGTGGTTGCATTTTATTCTCATTTCAACAGGAGTCACCAAGGTAATATTTGTTGAGTAAATTAACCTTCCCATAGTTTATATGACTGGTTATTTGTTCCTTATTAATCAAGCCATAATTCAGATTTGAAGTGATCTCAGAGCGTGTCCCTCCTACTGAAGCTGTGAAGCCAGACCAAATTGCTCAGGGCTTTGTCCAGCTGCATCTTAAAACCTCCAGTGGTAGAAATTGCGGAGACACTCCGGGCAGTTCTACTTCTTGGCAGTCCTCATAGGAAAAAAACCTTTTGTTACAGCCAGTATGAGGCTTTCTTGTTTCATTTTATGTTCATTGTCTATTGTCCACCCACCATGCATAGTGACCTTACAGGCATAGAAAGCATGGAACACCCCTACTAAACTTGCTCCAGTTTGTCAACATCTTTCCTGTTATGGAAGGTCATATTATAGGTGTGATCTAGGGAATAATCACTTTTCTCAGTCTCTTTGCCATGCTCCTGCTTACATAGTCTGAGGCACTGTTGGCTGTCTGCTGTCAGAGCCTCACACTCAAGTCCCTGCCCACCAGGATCTCCAGGGCCTTTTCCACATGGCAGCTCCTCAGCCAGTGTGTCCCCAGCTGTATCAGTGTGAGGGCATCTCCTTTCCCAGGATCAGGCTTTGCATTTGTCCTCACTCAATTTTGTGAGGTTGCTGTCAGCCTGTTACTCCAGCCTGCCTGAGTGCCTCTGAATGAGACTACCCCCTGCAATCTCCTGTTATCTGCCAGCTTCAAAAAAGGGCACCATGTTGCCTTGTCTAAATATTTTATATTAAAGTGACCAACAGGATGAGTCAAAAAATGGATCCCTGAAGGCACTCCAGTTGTTGCAGGCATTCAGAGAACAACACATGGTTGTTGTCATGTTGGTAGAGATCTGCTCTTGTCAGAGGGGTAATCTCTACCAGGTTTTTCCCAGCTGGTTTTCTGTCCATCTGGACTGCAATGTCCCAACTTGGAAGTAAGAACAAATGTGGGAAACTTTGTTGGGAACTTTACTAGAGCAATGGATTCAACCATCTATTGTGAGTCCAGGGTAGGCTCACTGCTCTTTCTTGGAAATAATAAACCTCAACAAATGAATATTTATCATTCATCTTCATGTGGCTAAAGAGGAATACTGCAAGTGAATACAGTTAATGGGGACAGGTGATGATTTTTGCAGCTTGTTCTAATAAATATAAAATTAGAAACCACAAGAACATGGGTTTGAAAACACTGCTGACAATTTTGTACAACCAAAGCACAGAATTACTTATTTAAATTATAGCCAGAATGCTCCCACCCAGCACCCTTGAAGAATTACAAGTTCTGATAAACACTAAGTAGTTTAGGGCAGTCTTGAGTGGTAGCTTTCATGTGCTTCATGTAGGCTATTGGAAGGATTGAGAAACAGGCTGTGTCAAAGGAAAGCTTTCACCAGCCAGGAGAGCTGCACGGTGAGCAAGCAAAGTCAACAACTACTGATGCCATGTCATGATCAGTGTAACTTTGCACAGAGAAACTTGTTGTCATAGGATGAATCAGTGGCGGATTGCAAATTGGTTTTTCAATGCCAGGGTACTCCAAGATTTAACTCATATTTTTTCTGGTCTCTCAGGACTTCTCTCAGTACAGGATGCCAACTGGATGGTGCAGGGGGAAGAAAACTATGCTTGGTTTGGATTTTCACTTGCTAGCTGCCAGCTGGAGAACGTGACATTACTGCTGATTGGTAGCCCTACATGGAAGACTTGTTCTAGGTGTGTTGCATGTGGCAGCTTGCTGCCTTCTCCACTCTGCTCTACTTCTGCAAGGTTTAAGGTTTGCAATATATTAGACTTCCAGCTTTTTTAGGAACTTTCCTTTTTGTTCTGCTTTGAATATTTTTATTAAATTAATAGTTTTATATCTTCACCCTTCTTTATGAAGACAAGGATTTTTAGACCCTCTCTAGAGCAGCTCTTTGTTATTTAAAGACACCTAAGAATTTATTGGGTTTCCCTGAGGAGGGAGGAGAGGGATCACAAAAATGCTGATGGGTAAATGTGCCTTAAATAACCATATGGATAGCTCTTGCTTTGAGATAGCATTTTTAAAAGCAAGTTAAGCATGAAGATATATTGGATGATAAAAAAGTGGATAGACCATGTCTACACTCAAAGTATTGTGTAATTAGTTAGAACAAGTATGGGAATTACTAAATCAGATTTCTAGAATTTGTCAGGCATTGTTATTCCAAAGTAAAAGGAGAGAATGTGCACAACATTATGTTGCTAGATACAAATTTATTTTGCATTGTAATTGAAGCTGCAATCCCCTCTTGCTGGATGTCAGACAGAGTGTTGGGAAGGTGTACGGGTATAACCCACCAAGTACAGAGAGCTGGTTTGAGATCACTGGAGACAAGGTAGGGCTGCTTCTTTACTATGGGAATAATTTGTGAATATTGGTGAATAATTTGAAGTGAAGTGACTTTCTGTAGAAATTACATAGATGTTTTAAAAATCTAACAGGAGATGGGCAGAATGGGTTTGTCTCTGGCCAGTGGTGTGCTGTCTGTGGCGGGGAACACAAGGAAAGTTTTGGTGGTGGGTGCACCTACTGCAGGTATGTCCTGAAAATTGGAGACCATTTCTGCTGTTTGTTTCTGCATGACTTGAGAAGAGATAAAATGTTTAAGGAAAAAGGGACCTTTAAATTTACATGTAGTTAAAAAAAAAAAAAAAAAGAAATCACTGTAATCACCTCTATTTGCCTTATATGTAGAGTCTTCTTTACTGTCCCTCAACTTCAGTGGGTCTTCTTCTTTCTTTAAAATGGGCTTAAAAGCATTACCACTTTGCATTATTTATGTAACAGTGGTTTTCTAGTAGAATACATATTTGTTGGAATTGAAACATCTCAGTATTTTGTCCTCACTGTGGCAGTAGACAGCAAGGAATTGAGGATGTCAAACTGCAGAAGTCTAACTGGAATGCATTTCTCCCCGGTACTATGACTTAAAGAATTTTTTCCCTATGCTAATTAGTGTTAATCCCATATAATTGTTGATGTCACTTGATACATTATATAAATTTTGTCCATTTTATGTAATGCCAGTATTACCTATAATTTTAAGTATTAAACCTGAGTTCCTGTGTCTGATGCTCAACATCTGGTTTTTGGTTGTTTTTTTTTTCCAGACAGCCTGTCTAGGATTTTATTTATGTCCTCAGTGCTGCATCAAGCTGGACTGGTGCTGGTATATGACCTGTCAAACAGCACCAAGCCTTCTCTGCTCAGCACATTCAGTGGGGACAGGAGGTTTTCTCGTTTCGGAGGAGACATATACCTAAGTGATCTGGATAGCGATGGACTAGGTAAAGCTTGATGAGTCCACACCAGAAGTGAAATGTTTGACTTTTGGCAACAGGAAAATTGGCCACCTACATATTCATACAAGTGCTAAACACAGCTCAGTTGAATTGTACTAGTATTCCATTGTGCCTTACAGGGAGGTCTCTCCAAAATCCCAAGAAACTCAATCAGAAATTGAAACATTTTAGTTGCCATCATTAATAGAAATTTTGTTACTTAGAGGCATGTACATACCAGCTCTTCTGTGTTTTGGTCTACCATTAATTCACTTCTGCTGTGTTATATCCTCTTTGTAACATGCACAGATGAAATGATTGTGGCATCCCCACTGCGAACAAATGGTGTCTCCTCAGTCCTGGCTGGTGGGGCTGCTGGCCGTGTTTATATTTTCAATGGCAGACAGGCATCCTCAGGGAATGTGACAGGCCACTGCACATCATGGACATCTCCTTGTCCGGAGGACTGGGTAAGAATACATGAAAATGAATTCTGGACATAAGTTTAGAATGACAACTAATTAATTACATCCAGTACCAATACCAAGTGTATTCTGCCTTTGTTCCAGAAAACAAAAGTTTTTCTCAGGCTTCTGAATCTGTGCAAAACTCTCAGGCTCCTCCTGTTTGTTCTTAAATTACTTTGCTGTTTAGGAGCCAGGATTATCATACTGGTCTCCTACTCTCTTTCACTGACTTTTTATTTCCTCTTCTCTTTTCTTCTATAGGCGCAGTATGTTCTGACTTCTCCTGAGGTAAGTAGCCAGAAAACAAATTACTGAGAGAAACTAAAAAGTCCTACTTAAAAAAACCTGCAGCATTATAACCAGCAATGTTATTTTACAGGAACTATCAAGATTTGGGAGTTCTGTTACCACTGTGAAATCTGAAAGAAAGGTGACAAAAATTACTGTGGTTTGTTGTTTCATATCATCCTTCTACCTCACTTGCATATACTACCTAACACCTCACATATATCTTACACATTTTCAAGTCTTAAGTTCTTTACATAGTTACTCTCTGAAGCAATAATTAAACACATTTTATAGATTGATGAGCTATGGAGTTGCTACAATTTTGGCACGTAAACTAAAAAATCTGAATTGCTTTAAAGCAGCCTGAATTCTAAACTGCTTAGGAGTACACTGCAAGGTTCCATAGGAAATGCAGCATAGGTGCCTCCCAGCTTCATGCCAACCTGTATGCAAAGTGGATGCTCAGCTGTGGAGCGAACCAGGCCCTCAAAACCATCCCTCTAATTTAGTTTTTACAGGCTTGCTGTCCTGGCTATCACCTGCAGTGAATGCTGTTCATATGTCCTGTGTTTCTAAGCACAGAGGTCCAGTTCTCACCTGACTGGTTTAGGATGGGTTTGTGTGCTTTGCTTCTCTCTTTGCTTCTCTCAGATGCCCATTTTTTTACCAAACACGCATTGCTACATTTGTATGATGCACTAAGGAACTAAGGAGCCCTTTTTTTTTTTTTAGCTGGTAGGTTACTTAGTGCTTGTTTGGCTGAGTTCCAATGTTCTGCTCACTCTAACATCACCTCCATGAGGACTGGGGTTCTCTGTGTGAATAGAGGAAGCCTCAGTACCAGGCTGAGGAGGTCTTCAACAAATGGTGTTTGACTTCTTGTGTTAAAACATGCAATGGAGAAACACCTGGAAATTCTTCTCAGCTAGATTAGGGTGCAGTGCACTGCAGGCACTGCTAAATGCAAGTGAGGCCATTCTCCAAGCAGTTGCTTTCTAGTCCATACTCCCCCTTCATCCCTATCAATCTTAGCCCTGAGAAGCAGCTAATATGGGCAAGAGACTCATTTCATTTGGTTCCAGCTTACTCCAGTTCCTCAAATGAAATAGTCTGTTTTGCCAAACTATCTTCTTAACTGCTGCTCTGATGAGGTGGGCTGCTCTTTCATTTCCCATCACATTTCTATATGACACTAATGAGATGATCATAATCCATAAGGGAAGCTTAAGGCAGCCATGCACCTGCAGTTGCATTTGCTAACCTTTGCTCTTTATCCCTGCAGAAAGAAGTTGTAGTGGCAGCAGAGAGAAGTTCTGCGAAAGCTCGACTTGGTGGAAGGCTTTTTGTCTACTCGCTCTAGAAGTTTGCAGTAGCCTTAAAGACCAGGGCACACCTGGTCTTCTAGTGGTGAACCTCTGTAGTATTTTTGCTACTTTCCTAAGTCCACACAAACCAGCACTGTGTCAGCAAGCTTTTGCTGAATTGTGGTGGGCAGCAGCATCGCTTATCTAGAACAAGCAAGCTGGTCTGAAAACCTTTGAGAGGTTGAAATGAGCAAGCAGCTGCATTTTTGGTAGTAGTATTTGGCTGTATAAGGAATGTTCAGTGGCCACCTTTACTGACCAGATTTGAGTATCTTCTTGACAAAACTGGGAAACTGCATCACAGCATTTACAATTCTTACATACTGTGATAAGGATTCTAAGTTATGGAAAGTTACTGACAAAACAATAAGCATGCAGCAGGGGCAGCTTTAAGACTGACAGAAAGGTGGGTGCTGATCAACAGGACTGTCTCTCTCTTCTCTCTCTCAAGTCTTGAGGCGTGCATTGAGGGTGTAGTGCAGCTCAGATCTCCCAGGAAAAAAAGAACAAGCAAGACTGGTAAAGTTTGAGGAAATGCAATTTGGCGGGTTACTGCTGACATCCTTTCTGCTTTTGTGTAAAATTCCATGACCATGGTAACACAGAGTTGTTAATGGCTTTTATTGTTAACAGTATTGTCTTTAACTAATTAACACTAATTTTGTACAATGCAGGTTTAACAGTGCGCATCAATTATCTATTAAACAACTTGAGCAGCAGAATGTGTTGATACTGTTATTACCAATGCTAGTCTGTAGACACATATGTGTGTTTTCTCTCTCTTGCCTCCTTCACAAAAGCAAGGCATTATTTTTATTTTAAATAAAATTGCACAGAATTCTAAAGGTCATAATCCAAAATTAAACACCTCAACTTACCTTCCTAGGAATTGTCTCTCAAGGATGTTGTTGTAAACACATCAAAAAAGGCAAGATGAACAGTAGCTTGATTTACAATGCATTCTGGTATCTATTTTGAGGACTTGCCCAAATAGCAGAACACTTTAAAAAAGAAGTTAAATCTGAACTTTGTGAAAGAAGTGACTGGCTACAACTGGGATTGCAGTACTTATGTTACAAATCTGTTAACCATGGTATGAGGCAAAACAAGCAGTGTACTTTTAAGGGCAGAACATTTCTCTTCAAATCAAAATTGACAAAATCATTTCTGTAGCAATTTCATTCTGAGCATACACTACTGGCTTTTTGCTATGTATGACCTCCACATAATTTTATTGCACTTGACTGCATTTTGATTACTTGAATTGTAAGAAAAACTAAACATTTGCATATGTCTACATATAAAAGGCAGTCCTGTAGAAGACATGTCTTTCGCTCTACATTTTTTATTGTGCTTTGAGTCAGTTATGTACAGGTAAAGAGTCAAAAGGAGTTCACAGAAGCCTCCCTGAAAAAAAGCTTATGAGAAAGCTTCCATAACAGTTGCACCAATATCAGTTCTGGCCTAAAGAAACTACAGCTCATTTGAAAATATCAGCATCTATCTCCCTTCACACACTGAGATTCCTGGGGTTTATAAGCAAGGTATGTAATTGTTTTTTTTTTCCATTGGACTGCTCAGTTGGGTGATTTTTTATTACTTTACCTGCTAAGCTTAAAGGCTGCAAAAAAATCAGCTAAAAAACTCAAAAGCATTACAAGCCCCATTATCCTTCTCATGCCATTGGTATCTGTACTTAAAGTCACGTACAGAAGAACTGTTGGAAAGTAACCACATCCAATTGACTTGAACCAAACCAGAATCACAGGCCTGGACAACTTTAATTTAAGAACCTTTTTATTTCCATCTTTGACTCATTAGTCCTGAGAAGAATATTCACAGCTACAGCTACTGTCTTTTCAACCCTGCCAGTACAATGATTTACACAGTAGCACCTAAGGAGCAGCTCACTGTGTTACAGATAGATTAAAAAATCCCAAAGAGGAAATGGACAGAGTGTGACGTGATTTAGACACATTTCATGCTTCCTCTACAACCTGAGAGAAACCAGTGGAGAACTACACCCTTAAAGACAAGTCCTAAGAACAACAGAAATAGTTGCCATAAGACTTTTACTCCTTCCTGCAGCCTATCACAGGACAACAGGCTTCCACACCTTTAACTAACCTGGCTACTTACTGTGGTGCAGGCTAGTCCATGCTTTGTCTTGGAGGGAAGAGAGAAAGCACAGCCTACCTTAAGAAAAACAAACAACCCATCCAATGATTTTTACCAGAATTTGAATTATGGCAACACAAGGAGGTGTTAAACTGAAGCTGTACCAATGTGTGTTGAAACAGTGTCAGATGGAAAACTCAAGTGGGCATTATCCATAGGCCCACTTGTCCTGTTCCTAGAACTGCTGTTTGGAGCCTAAATTAATTGTTAAGGAATATACAGGATTAGCAGCTACATTTCAAAGCTCTTTTTTCTCATTGCCTCCAATCTAGGAGTCATGCTTCATGAGAGATGCAGGTATGCTTTTTGCTTTGAAAAACCTGTTCTCTGCAATTAAATAGGGTCTTAAAAATCCATTCAGGGAGTCACTCTTGGGATGGATTTTTCTTTGAAGTCAGATTCCTAAATCTGCAGTTCAGAACCAGAATTATTGATAAATCCTGACTGCTTCCTTCTTTAAGCCAAAAATTCTGTTCTCTGTAATAAAGGCCATTAAGCAAAGCAGTATTTGACAGAAACACTACAAATGAGAATGCCCAAAAAGTAAGTACATGTATGTGATACAGAAAACTAAAGGCACATACATGGGGTGGAGGTGAAACTACTATAGAAAGCATTTTGCTATTTGCCCTCATGTTTCTCTCCTTATGTGCGTGAGCATTAAAAATTTTGTTGTAGGTTTTTGGCACAAAATATATATTAAATTAGCAAGTTTAGAAATTCTTGCAGTTTTCAGTAAGGAAGAACAAATACAAGGAAAGAGTCCAAAGTCCACCCTGTAACAATGAAAGTCTCTTCATTCCTGCTGTTCCTACTGGTTTGTTAATGTGCTTCTGCTCAGCCCAAATGTTTCTCCTTTAAGACTGGTCTTTATGTCCACTCTTCCCGCTGCTGGTTGGGATTTTTTCAAAGCTGCAGGAACCTAGGCAAGAAACAAAATAGCCTGGTTATGTGAGAAGCTGCTCCACATGTGGCAGAAGGAAGTAAGGCTCCACAGATGCTTGAACCCTGACTTTGCTCCCCTTATTTTCAGAACAGTGTCTTAGGCTTCTCCCACCCTAATACCTCCCAGTATCTTTCTCCAAGTCAGTCAGTATGTGCTGGACTTAAGTTTTGAACTACACTTCAGGATATTCTAGTAAATTGTAGCCATAGCAACAATCCACAACTACTGCCAGCTGATTCTTAGTAGCAAAAGAGGGAAGAAGGGGAATTTATCTGAGCCTCCCTTTGTCATTTGTAGCAACTTAACTTTTGACTTTACTGATACATCAGCTATAAATTTTACAGTGCAGAGATGAGGCAGACAACACAATTCCACAAGTTCTGGGGAGTGCAGTCCATAGGGAAAATGGCCCATACATGCTAATCTGAGCATGGTCTCTTTGGAAATCTTCCTACAGCTCTGTACCCTCAATGACAAAGATAACTGGTGCATATGTAAGAAACTATTACAAACTTCAGACTGAGAGTCAGGCATCACAACCATGGCATCATTCTCCAGAGTGTTGTTACAGCTAGTACTCATCCTCATCATATACATCATCATGTAAATATACATTATCATGTATATTTAGCTCTCCTTATTCTTTTACAAGTCAGGGACTATGGATCCAGCGTTAGTATGTGGGTAGAAGGATAAGAACTGCTTCTACCGTTAGTCCCAGGTCTCCTTGGGCTTCCAGGTGAAAGCAAATACAACACTTCTCATGGAATAGCTTGCAGCTTCACTTCTGCCCAGTGCTGGGGGCTCCCCATCTCCTCCAGTCCAGCTATGGAGCACCTTCTCTGTCATGGACCAGACCCTGAGCTGAATTTTGCCATGCTTTGTGGCCTATCCATCTAAGCCATCTTATTTTCTGCCTCAGGAATGAAGTGTAGAAGCAGAGTGTAGGCAGGAGCCCCAGGCAGCCACACGTACGTGAGGAGGTAGCGGAGGATCCAGGTGCCGCCCAAGGAAGGAAAGTAAGCGCCGCCAGATCAGACCACTTCCCAGAAACATAATCCCTGTCACCAACCAAAATATCCTGGGGTCCTATCAAGAGAACACTCCCATTAGTCATCCAATTATCTCTCAGAAAAGGGATTACCCAAAGATACTCCCCACCAGCATTTTCCTCCTTTATAAGAGGAAGCAGTAAACTCTTCACCATCAACAGCCAAACACTTCCTTGGAAAAAGGGCTGTTTCACAGGAAAGCATTTTATTTAGGATCACTGTACTGTATTCTGTTACTGTTCCATGCAGTTTTCCTTCCTTCATTGGGAAGTTTGAAAATTCAATCCTTATATTTAACTGATTTGAAAAGGAAGAAGTATTTGCTTTGTTTGTTTGTTTGTTTTAGAGGTGGTATGTGCAGTTTTAAAGCTGTACCCCCCAAGCTGGAACCCCTTCCTCCCCAGTTTAGGTATAAACAATTACTGACAGTACAGTACTTCCTCTGATATGCTGGAAATGCCCTGGCTGCTTGACAGATACCCTTGTGTCTGGAAGACAAAGCTGCTCTTGTCAGAATAGATGACCATTAACAAAACTTTAATACTACTTTATAATCAACTACTTATACAACCAAAAATGTGTCTTCCCATTTCTTTTCCATGGACATGACACAGAAAAAAGGCTGCAATACAATACTGTGCAGTTTCCCATGCAGTAATTTGCTTACAAAAGAAGTGACTGTATGAACACATGAATCACTGCAGCTTTGTCTATGGAAAGAATGAAGCTGTACCAAATCTGAAATAAGCTGTAAGAGCAGGACACACATTTTATGATAAACACAGGACTTGTTCCTTACCTCTTCAAGGGATGACTCCAAGTTCATACCAAATGCAACTCCTATGAGTCCAAAGAGAGAGACAGAGAAAGTCCCCATGGTCAGCTGCAAGTTCAGCCTCATCATCACATTACGGTGGCTAAAGAAGGGAGAAACATCTGTAAGGGGAACCCAAAAATTTATTTGCTGCCTAAATTCTTGAATTCCATATAAAATGCACTAAAAACAAATAGTGAAAGAGAGGAAGTCATGCTGAAATTATGTAACTCAATTGCAAAGATCACGAAACAACAGTACAAAGAAACTATTATTTTGACATTGCTACATTTGGACACCCCTAAAGGCAGCAGGTTCTGCTTAACCATCATCAGGCTTTCCAGTATTGCTCACTTCTCAGAGGTGTACATACAGAGTAACAGTAAATTTCTGCTGATATTGGTAACTTCTCGCCATCACCTGGCTGCAATTTCTATGTCTGTATTCACAACGGTGGCAAATTAATTTGCAAGGTAACAAAAAATTTTTGTTACCTTGCAAATTAATACATTTTACAAAAAATGGAGTTGCTAAATGCTGCAGACTACAAACTTCAGCCCTTTTGGGTGAATTTCATATTCAAGTCTTCCACAAAAAGATTTTTGTGGTTTCCTGATACAGCATCCAAAAAGTGTTTCTACAGGTAATTCCTCAGTCTAGAGGAGAAAGAATATTAAACACTGACCTCAGAGGGACATGTTCGTGCAAATGCAAACTACAACTCTTTTT